TGCGACTTGTGAGAGAATTGGCCGTCTGCAAGGACGTTGCCCAGGGGATGCCCAGATGATTTGATGTTTTTTACCATCCTTGTGGGAGGCTTCTCTCGTGTCCCCACATGAGGAGCTGAAGCTGATAGAGGGAGCTCATCCACCTCTCCCCAGATTCGAACCTGTGACCTGTTGGTCTTCAGTCCTGCCGGCACAAGGGTTTAACCCTCTGTGCCACCGGGGGCTCAATAATAATGCTCAAGCAACCGCATTGTGTTGCTTCTCTTCTGGACCATGTGTGTCTGCCTACAACAGGGAAGGGCCAATTGCAGCTGCCCCTAGATTGCATTACAGAGAGAATGAGGCTGAGAGAGTGTAACTTGACCAGAGTCATCTAGTGGGCTTCCATAGCTAAGAGGAATCCCAATGCTCAAGCAACCGCAGTGTGTTGCTTCTCTTCTGGACCACGTGTGTCTGCCTACAACAAGGACAGGTCAATTGCAGCTGCCCCTAGAATGCATTACAGAGAGAATGAGGCTTAGAGAGTGTAACTTGGCCAGAGTCATCTAGTGGGCTTCCATAGCTAAGAGGAATCCCAATGCTCAAGCAACCGCAGTGTGTTGCTTCTCTTCTGGACCACGTGTGTCTGCCTACAACAAGGACAGGTCAATTGCAGCTGCCCCTAGAATGCATTACAGAGAGAATGAGGCTGAGAGAGTGTAACTTGACCAGAGTCATCTAGTGGGCTTCCATAGCTAAGAGGAATCCCAATGCTCAAGCAACCGCAGTGTATTGCTTCTCTTCTGGACCATGTGTGTCTGCTTACAACAGGGAAGGGCCAATTGCAGCTGCCCCTAGATTGCATTACGGAGAGAATGAGGCTGAGAGAGTGTAACTTGACCAGAGTCATCTAGTGGGCTTCCATAGCTAAGAGGAATCCCAATGCTCAAGCAACCGCAGTGTGTTGCTTCTCTTCTGGACCATGTGTGTCTGCTTACAACAGGGAAGGGCCAATTGCAGCTGCCCCTAGATTGCATTACAGAGAGAATGAGGCTGAGAGAGTGTAACTTGACCAGAGTCATCTAGTGGGCTTCCATAGCTAAGAGGAATCCCAATGCTCAAGCAACCGCAGTGTATTGCTTCTCTTCTGGACCATGTGTGTTGCTTCTCTTCTGGACCATGTGTGTCTGCCTACAACAGGGAAGGGCCAATTGCAGCTGCCCCTAGATTGCATTACGGAGAGAATGAGGCTGAGAGAGTGTAACTTGACCAGAGTCATCTAGTGGGCTTCCATAGCTAAGAGGAATCCCAATGCTCAAGCAACCGCAGTGTGTTGCTTCTCTTCTGGACCACGTGTGTCTGCCTACAACAGGGAAGGGTCAATTGCAGCTGCCCCTAGAATCAATAATAATAATAATAATAATAATAATAATAATAATAATAATAATCTTTATTTATACCCCGCCACCATCTCCCCGGTGGGGACTCGGAGTGGCTTACATGGGGCCAAGCCCGGACAACATATTACAGCATAAAATCAAAACATAAACAACAAACAACTACAACATCATCAGAATTACATAATAGAAGGGGGGGGGGAAGAAGGCAATCATAAAGTAACATTCTAATAAAGACAATTACAGTAACGATAACAATGGGCAGGCCGCATATACAGGATAAAACAATTAAAAGACTGTAATGAAATAAAATAGGACCAGGACATTTACGGGGAACTCATAAAAACCCAGAGTTGTGAGGCTAAACTTCCCATTTGGAGGGTGCGCGATCCAGCAGCAGAAAACGTTGGGGGGTGCAAAATGTCACGGTGTGCACCTACTCACCAAAGGCACAACGGAAGAGCCAGGTTTTAAGGTTCTTTTTTAACATTTCTAGTGAAGGGGCATTCCTAATCTCAGCAAGTAAAGAGTTCCAAAGTCGGGGAGCCACAGAGGAGAAGGCTCTCCTCTGTGCTACTGTTATGAATCATGTAAATATCTGATATGCAGAATGCATTTTCATTGGTACTTCCTTTTCTCTCTGGGATTTGGCTATGGAGGGGTCACTCCACCCCTCTCTAAGCCCTGCCCTCCCACCACTATTCGTTTGTTCAGTATATAATTCAGATTGCTTACTGTATTGTATGTATTGGTTTGCAGTTTTCCTTATCTCTTTGTTGTGGGAGAGGCTGCAGATCATGTGATCAGATCTGGGCTTGTTCAGGGCTCAGACTCCATTTTAGGTCTCAGACTCCATTGGACTTTTGGATTAGACAGAGACTCTATTTGACTCTCAGAATAGAGGGAGGCTTAAGAATATGAACTGTTGATTATGAGAAAGATGCCCTACACAAACTACTTCAAATCGTATCTGTACTTGGACTGATAGGCAAAGTACATCTATGTTGGAAATAGAAACCTTCAAGCCTCCACTAGTTGTTTGTTATGTATATAATTCAGATTGCTTACTGTATTGTATATGTGTGTATTGATTTGCAGTTTTCCTTATCTCTTTGTTGTGGGAGAGGCTGCAGACCATGTGATCAGACCTGGGCTTGTTCAGGGCTCAGACTCCATTGGACTTTCGGACTAGACAGAGACTCTATTTGACTCTCAGAATAGAGAGATGCTTTAGATTATCGATTGTTGGTTATGAGAAAGATGCCCTGGAATAAATCTGGATAAAGCTCTGTTAAAATGCCTTTCAAAAGTAACAGGAAACTTATACTCACTACTCCGGTTAAGCTCCTCCTTTGACCTAATTCTATCGTTGGCGGAGTTCAGAATGCCATTTGATTGTAGGTGAACTATAAATCCCCACAACTACAACTACAGGTAGAGAAACACTGACCTTTGGAGAGCTTCTGTTCGATTGTTTCAAAGCCCCCTGCTTGAGTGGTGATGGCATGATCGTCAGCATAGATGAAACTGTCTTGTCCCTGTATTAAGAAGTCGCGATTCGTAACAAGAGCAAAATTGGAGTGATGAAGCAGCAACGAAAATAATTTTATGTTTGGGGGGTCGCCACAACATAAATGACTGTATTAATTGGTCATGGCATTAGGAAGGTCGAGAAACACTGACTTAAAGCTTCGGAGAGCTTCTGTTCAACCATTTCAAAGCTCCCTCCTTGAGTGGTGATGGCATGATTGTCAGCATAGATGAAACTCTTCATCACTTCTGGCATTTGTAGGGGTCACCACAACATGAGGAAGTGGATTAAGGGGTCACAGCATTAGAAAGATCGAGAAACACTGACCAAAAGCTTWGGAGAACTTCTGTCTGACCATTTCAAAGCTCCCTGCGTGAGTGGTGATGGCATGATCGTCAGCATAGATGAAACTCTTCATCACTTCTGGCATTTGTAAGGGTCACTACTACATGAGGAACTGGATTAAGGGGTCGCGGCATTAGGAAGGTTGAGAAACATGGCTTAGAGCTTCGGAGAGCTTCTGTTCAACCATTTCAAAGCTCCCTGCTTGAGTGGTGATGGCATGATCGTCAGCATAGATGAAACCCTTCATCACTTCTGGCATTTGTAGGGGTCGCTACTACATGAGGAACTGGATTAAGGGTTYGCAGCATTAGGAAGGTTGAGAAACACTGGCCTAGAGCTTTGGAGAGCTTCTTTTCAACCATTTCAAAGCTCTCTTCTAGAGTGGTGATGGCATGATCGTCAGCATAGATGAAACTCTTTGTTGTCCCTGGCATTTGTAGGGCTCACCACAACCTGAGGAACTGGATTAAGGGGTCGTGGCATTAGGAAAGTTGAGAAACACTGGCTTAGAGCTTTGGAGAGCTTCTGTTTGACCATTTCAAAGCTCCTTGCTTGAGTGGTGATGGCATGATCGCCAGCATAGATGAAACTCTTCATCACTTCTGGCATTTGTAGGGGTCGCTACTACATGAGGAACTGGATTAAGGGGTCACGGCATTAGGAAGGTTAAGAAACACTGGCTTAGAGCTTTGGAGAGCTTCTGTTTAACCATTTCAAAGCTCCCTGCTTGAGCGGTGATGGCATGATCGTCAGCATAGATGAAACTCTTTATCACTTCTGGCATTTGTAGGGGTCACCACAACATGAGGAACTGGATTAAGGGGTCGCGGCACTAGGAAGGTTGAGAAACACTGACTTAAAGCTTCAGAGAGCTTTTGTTCAACCATTTCAAAGCTCCTTGCTTGAGTGGTGATGCCATCATCGTCAGCGTATATGAAATTCTTTGTCGTTCCTTGCAATTGTAGGGGTCACCACAACATGAGGAACTGGATTAAGGGGTCATAGCATTAGGAAAGTTGAGAAACACTGGCTTAGAGGTTCAGAGCTTCTGTTCAATCATCTCAAAGCTCCCTGCCTGACCAGTGATGGCATGATCGTCAGCATAGATGAAACTCTTCATCACTTCTGGCATTTGTAGGGGTCACCACAACATGAGGAACTGGATTAAGGGGTCATAGCATTAGGAAAGTTGAGAAACACTGGCTTAGAGGTTCAGAGCTTCTGTTCAATCATCTCAAAGCTCCCTGTTTGAGTGGTGATGGCATGGTCGTCAGCATAGATGAAACTCTTTATCATTTCTGGAATTTGTAGGGGTCACCACAACATGAGGAACTGGATTAAGGGGTTATGGCATTAGAAAGGTTGAGAAACACTGACCAAAAGCTTTGGAGAGCTTCTGTCTGACCATTTCAAATCTCCCTGCCTGACCGGTGATGGCATGATCGTCAGCATAGATCCCTGTATTAAGGGGTCGCGATTCATAACAGGAGCAAAATTACAGTGATGAAGCAGCAACGAAAATAATTTTATGGTTGGGGGTCACCACATCATGAGGAACTGTATTAAGGGGTCGCGGCATTGGGAAGGTTGAGAACTAATCTCTACGATCATACTTAAAAAGATGAGAAAATGTTGCCCTTCCCTTGTTTCCCTGCGTCGTAATGTCATGTGTGGCCCCTGCGACTGAAAGCTCGTTTCTCCGCCTCTCTTTCTCTTTCTGTCATCTTTCTCTCTTCCTTTCTCAACAGGATCCACGCACATTGGGATCTGAACATCTCTTTCCACGAGACCTCTTGCAGGTACCCTTCTTCTTTGTATGGTAGGCCACGGCTTTCTTTGATAACGCATTTGGGAAATGGCATTGCAGAGTCCTGCGAGAAAGATGGGGAACCCTTTCCGAGGGGTTGTGTGGTTGTTGTGCGATTGCGTTGTCTTGTTTTCATTTTTTCCCCCTTTATGGGACATTTATGGGAGAAAAGAGCACTTTATTCAAAATCTATCCTATGTAAGGATAAAAGAATCGGCATGGCAAGACAATGAAGGAGGTACAGGATATGAATCATATACATCTATATCAGTGTTTTTGTCACATGTGGTCAAACACCAAATGAGAGAGCAATTAGGTTCAATTCCATCGTTGGTGGAGTTCAGAATGCTCTTTGATTGTAGGCGAACTATAAATCCCCGCAACTACAACTCCCAAATGACAAAACCAACCCCCCCCCCCCAACACAACCACTATTCAAATTTGGGCGTATCAGATATTTGAACTATAAATCTCAGCTACTACAACACACAACCACCTTACCTGCATCATTGGAAATCTGCTACAAAACAGGAGCTTTTTTGTTGAGTTCCAGCGCCAGAGAAGCAGATGGCAAAGACAGAAGAACAGCCTCCCTTAGGGGAGCGTGCTTGCTCCATCAATGTTTAGCATTTACACAAATGACAAGCCACTGCCCAGAAGGGACAGAGCGTTTCATCTATGCTGACGATCATGCCATCACCACCCAAGCAGGAGCTTTGAAATGGTTGAACAGAAGCTCTTCAAAGCTTTAGGTGCTCTCAATGAAAAAATCAATCTCCCAACTCCAGTATTCAGATGTGGGCATATTGTGTATTTGTGCTAAGTTTGGTCCAGTGAATGAAAATACATCCTGCATATCAGATATTTGCATTGCGATTCATAACACTAGCACAATTATAGTTATGAATTATGGTTGGGGGTCAACATGAAGAACTGTATTAAGGGGTCGCAGCATTGGGAAGGTCGAGAACCACTGACCTAAAGCTTTGGACCGCTTCTGTTCGACCGTTTCAAAGCTCCCTGCTTGAGCAGTGATGGCAGAATCATCTACATAGATGAAACTCATATCTATGGCTGGAGGTCACCACAACATGAGGAACTGTATTAAGGGGTTGCGACGTTAGGAAGGTTGAGAAACACTGACCTAAAGCTTTGGACAGCTTCTGTTCAACCGTTTCAAAGCTCCCTGCTTGAGCGGTGATGGCAGGATTGTCAGCATAGATGAAACTCTCTGTCCCTTCTGGAAGTGGCTGATCATTTGTGTAAATGTTGAACATTGATGGAGGAAGCATGCTCCCCTGAAGCAGACTGTTCTATTTTCGTCATCTGCTTCCCTGGCCCTGGAGCTTTTGTTCAACTATTTCAAACTCCCTGTTTAGGCAGTGATGGCATGATCGTCAGCATAGATGAAACTCTCTGTCCCTTCTGGAAGTGGCTGATCATTTGTGTATATGTTGAACGTTGATGGAGCAAGCACGCTTCCCTGAAGCAGGCCGTTATTCTGTTTGTAGCTTTTCCCTCTCCAACTTTAATTTCCACCTCTGATGTTTGAACAAACTGAGCAAAACAATTAATAATAATATTGTGATTTTGTCTGTGAGAGGTCCTACACCCCTATGCTATCAATTAAAAGCAGAAAATAAGCAATTTATGGCGACCCTAAGGCAACATGACAATATTTGTTGGGGCAGGATCAGGTGACCTTCCTTGGAGGTTGAGAGTGTGTGACCTCCCCAAGACTAAATGTAAAGGTTTTCTCTTGACATTAAGTTTTGTCGTGTCTGACTCTGAGGGGGGTGGTGCTCATCTCCATTTCTAAGCCAAAGAGCCGGCGTTGTCCATAAACAACTCCTGGGTCATGTGTTGGTAGCAGGAAACCAGCAGAAGCGAATGAGCATTGCTAGTTGTCAGTAGCTCATCGGCTGGCGTTGTGGTGAAGGTTAGAGATGAGCGTCCTCATTCCACTTCCCTCCAAGTGCGAAGTTTGCACTGTACATGTGATATCCAGAAAGTAAGGTTACAAGGCACATAGCTGTTGTGGGGAATTTTCACAGGGGAACTTGGTATCACTGCCGTGTAGTGGGAAGCCAGAAGAAGCGAATGAGCATTGCTAGTTGTCAGTAGCTCATTGGCTGGTGTTGTGGTGAAGGTTAGAGATGAGCGTCCTCATTCCGCTTTCCTCCAAGTGTAAAGTTCGCACTGTATGAGCGATATCTGGAAAGTAAGGTTACAAGGCATGTAGCTGTTGCGGGAAATTTTCACGGGGGAAGTTGGTATCACTGCCGTGTAGCAGGAAGCCAGCAGAAGCGAACGAGCAGTGCCAGTCATCAGTAGCTCATCAGCTTGCATTGTGGTTAAGGTTAGAAATGAGTGTCCTCATTCTGTTTCCCTCCAAGTGCGAAGTTCGCACTGTACGAGTGATATCTGGAAAGTAAGGTTACAAGGCACGTAGATGTTGCGGGGAATTTTCACAGGGGAAGTTGGTATCACTGCCGTGCAGTGGGAAGCCAACAGAAGTGAATGAGCAATGCCAGTCGTCAGTAGTTCACCGACTGGCATTGTGGTGAAAGTTAGAGATGAGTGTCCTCATTCCACTTCCCTCCAAGTGCAAAGTTTGCACTGTACATGTGATATCTGGAAAGTAAGGTTACAAGGCATGTAGCTGTTGTAGGAAGTTGGTATCACTGCCATGTAGTGGGAAGCCAGCAGAAGCGAACGAGCAGTGCCAGTTGTTGATAGCTCACCGACTGGCACCGTAGTGAAGGTTAGAGATGAGCGTCCTCATTCCGTTTCCCTCCAAGTGCGAAATTTGCGCTGTAACATGTCTGTAGACACTTCCTAGGTCATGTGGCTGGGATGACTGCATGGAGCGCTGTTTTCTTTCTGCTGGAGTGGTACCTATTAGGCCTGTTTGATCAAGAAAAAAATTGTTTCTAAAATCGATTTGTAATTGGGGTGTTTTTTTGTTTCGATATTTAAAATAATTACAAAACTTTCCAAAAAAAAAGTTTTGGTATTTAAGAAATTTTGTAAATATTTTTAAAGAATAATATTAAAATAATATTAAAAATAATATTAAAATAATATTAAAAATATTTTAAAATGGAAAATTAACCAAAAAATGGCCCAAATGTGGACCAAACACAGGCAGGATACAGCAAATGAGAGCACACACCAACAGAAGAGTCTTTTCTTTTTTAGAATATTTTTTTAAAAATAATATTAAAATAATATTAAAAAATAATATTAAAATAATATTAAAAAATATTTTAAAATGGAAAATTAACCAAAAAATGGCCCAAATGTGGACCAAACACAGGCACGATACAGCAAATGAGAGCACACACCAACAGAAGAGTCTTTTCTTTTTTAGAATATTTTTAGAATATTAAAAATAATATTAAAATAATATTAAAAAATATTTTAAAATGGGAAATTAACCAAAAAATGGCCCAAATGTGGACCAAACACAGGCAGGATACAGCAAATGAGAGCACACACCAACAGAAGAGTCTTTTCTTTTTTAGAATATTTTTTAAGAATAATATTAAAAAATAATATTAAAAAATAATATTAAAATAATATTAAAAATAATATTAAAAAATAATATTAAAAAATAATATTAAAATAATATTAAAAAATAATATTAAAAATATTTTAAAATGGACAATTAACCAAAAAATGGCCCAAATGTGGACCAAACACAGGCAAGAGACAGCAAATGAAGCAAGCAGCACTCACAGCAGCAAGGAATGAATCCAATCCCAGTTCGTTGCTAGCAGGCAGCCATTGCCAAGCCAACCCAATGCAAACTCCCTCGCCCTCGCCTCTGCACCAAGCTACGGGCCGCGCGGAGCCGCTTTGAAAGGGCTCGCCGGCCAATCAAAAAGGGACAGTCACGGACCCATGGTGCACTGCTTGGGAGCGCCGGATTGGCTCCCATGCACCAGCACTCCAGCAGCCTCCACCCCATTAACGAAACGAGCAGAGGCTCGTAAATACTATGGGGGCTGCTGGTTCGATATTTATAAACCCTTCCGGGTTTGGAGATTTGTTTCAATATCGCTTCGGAAATGGTAAAATTAACGAATTATTAACGAATTAACGAATTAACGAACCAAATCGCACAGGCCTAATACTTAGATTTTAACAAGGAGACGCTCACGACAATGTTTTTACGACTTTGTATTGTTTTTTATATTTTTATATTTTATGCTTTTTAACAGTATTTCATGATTGCTTTACTTGTTGTGGCATCAAATGTTGCCAACTGTGAACCACCCTGAGTCGTCTTCGGGCTGAGAAGGGCGGTATATAGGTCGTGTCAGGAGCGACTTGAGAAACTGCAAGTCGCTTCTGGTGTGAGAGAATTGGCCGTCTGCAAGGACGTTGCCCAGGGGACGCCTGGATGATTTGATGTTTTTATCATCCTTGTGGGAGGCTTCTCTCATGTCCCTGCATGAGGAGCTGGAGCTGATAGAGGGAAGCTCATCCGCCTCTCCCCAGATTTGAACCTGCGACCTGTCGGTCTTCAGTCCTGCCGGCACAGGGGTTTAACCCACTGCGCACCGGGGGCTCCAGGATATAAATATGGTAAACAAATAAATAAATGCTCAGATTTGCCACAGTGGTCCACGCTTTGGTTACATCCCGTTTAGATTACTGCAACGCTCTCTACGTGGGGTTGCCTATGAAGACTGCCCGGAAGCTCCAACTAGTCCAACGTGCGGCAGCCAGATTACTAACAGGAGCGGGGTACAGGGAGCATACTACTCCTCTGTTGCGCCAGCTCCACTGGCTGCCAATTAGCTTCCGAGCACAATTCAAAGTGCTGGTGTTAACCTATAAATCCCTAAACGACTCCGGCCCAGTTTACCTGTCCGAACGGATTCTCCCCTATGAACCATCAGTTGTTAAGATCGTCTGGAGGGGCCCCGCTCTTGGTCCCACCGGTCTCTCAAGCGCGTCTGGTGGGGACGAGGGACAGGGCCT